GATCAAATCAGATGTCACTACTTTGTGTAACGGGATATACTAGCGCACGCGGAAACGAATACGCGGACAAACTAACCAGGAGAGGAGAAGCCACACCGATGATGGAGCCGAAACCTTTTTGTGGACTAGGAAATAGTACGCTCCTTTCTCTCACAAAAATAAAGGAGAACCAGAATTAAAACGATTACTGGGATAATATACCAGGATTAAAACAATTCAAATCACTTATTGGTACCTATAACAATAAGAGATACCAGGATTGTATAAACTTGTTAAAAGAAAATAAAACACCACCTTACAAGACTGGGTATACTAACGGATGCAAACTGTTGATTCTGCGAAGAGAATGAGGAGTTCGCCACACATGTGCTGTCAGAATGCCCTGCGCTAATGTATATACGGAATAGGCTCCTGGGTATGTATATTCTTATAGAAGAGGCCATACGAGTATTCGAGGTGTTGGAATATACATGAATTGCAAAACTAAACGGGCACTACTGCTCACATGGACCAATATCAGAAAGCATATCTTCTGCTCTATTCACAAATAAGCGAAGTAATATATCGGTTGTTCAGTGTTACGCTGCTATAAAGGACAGCTAACTCAGTAGCAAAGAAGCCTTCTATGAACAACTCAACCAAGTACTAAATGAGCTCCTAGGTAACGACTTCAAAGTGCTCATGAGTAATTTTAAGGCCCAAAATTTATCCAACAAGAACGAGTATAAGAATATTGTGGCCAAAGACTAAAGGTTCGTGTGATGGGAATGGGGAACTCTTTGTTGAACTTTGTAACAAACGTGACTTAAAAATTAGTGGCTCTGTTTTTATTCACAAGAAAGCGCATTTAAGCACATGAAACGGTATGTTTGAGATGCAAATAGGACACATTTGTATAAACCATCAGTTCATTAACATCTGTTACGATGTGCGCAACAAGAGGAGCGTGGACATTGGCAGCGATCATTATATGATTATTGCGAAATTACATCTTAATATCTGGTCTCGCAAAAAACAGCAGTAAATACAAAAATTGGACATCAGCAAACTTAAGAGCGAGCAAGGAAGAACTGATCTATTCAACAGAATTTACTTCTTCTATTGAAGATAATAGTGATGAGAGATTAATACAACATGGGGAAAATACAACTAGGGTTAAAGGACACATACACCCAAGGGCTGGGTTTCAGACATAGGCGTACTTCGTCAGAAATGCGGTGCTTCAAAAGACATACAAGTATAAGATTGCAAAAGGTGACGAATCATGGATATATGCATATAAGCTGGAGAGTAAACAGCAATCGACTAAAAATAAAAGTTGTTCGCGTTAGAAGCACCTCGAAACAATGGTCGCTTGTTTTTTCGGAAAAACTAGTCATATGGCAACTATACGATTACAGGAACATAAATGATCAATTCCGAATGGTATACAATCATTTGTTCACAGAAAGTCTTCAGTAAAATAAAGAAAAACAAACACCGTCGGGTCATTGTCAATGAAGTCTGGCACCCAATGAGTTTTTCTTCTTCCCGAACGTCAAGAATAAATTGCGTGGACAACAATATATGTCAGTAAAAAAGCCGTTGTTACATTTAAAAACAATGTTTTGGAGGTGTCTGAAGAAGATTGGAAAAAAAGCTTTGACAAATGGTTTGAACGCATACAAAAATGTATTTATAATAAAGAAGAATACTTCGAGAATCAATAAGGCAAGTTTCAATAAAATAGTATTTTTTTCATTATTAGGCTCAAAAAATAAATGGTGACCCTCGTATATGGTTCGCTTTCATTAGACATTCCGGCATATACCAGCAGTCCACCTTTGTTATTATTAAACTCACCACCACCATTCCAGCACACTTCGCTTAGTCCAATTAGATCTATATTTAGACGTTAACATTCTGATGTTAGTTGAGGAAGATTTCCGTTTTAAAATATCGTTCTTATATTCCATTGTCCAAATCGTGTCGTTTTTCGTTTCCGGTTCGTCAACAAATTAGAGAACCCTTGATTATTCTTTGTGAAAATTTGGATTGATGAAGGTTTCCACTGGTGCAGGTAATTGGACCACTTCGCCAAATTCAATGGCAGGGCTGCTGCCTAGATTTGTATGTGGTAATAATTGCTGATTATGCCGCCGAACCTGCACTCAAAAACAATGCAAACTCATGTCTGACAATGTTAACATATGTAATGGAACATGAGTTACGTCCCCTTCATGTATAATGGGCAACAATGAATAAATCTCGTTGAGGCTAAACTAATAATGGAAATGTTGTAATTGAGGTAAACAACGAATTAACTTCTTGTGATTTATTGCTCCATTACCAACTTTATAAAAATTATATATTTTTTATTTTAAAATTTGTTTTCTTAATTTACTAAAAACTTCTGTCAAATTGATTTCTTGAATGTGTAATGCGTTATCACCACACAGCCCCTTCTAGAATTTGACGCCCAACTGACTGCAAAATCTACTTTCTGTTGAAGTGGCACTTATGCAGTATACTTTGTTGGAAACCGTACAACTCTTATTGCGCGGGTCACCTTCGGTTCTTCCTTCGTTGAGGTTCTTCCCTTCGTTCTCTTGTCAAACTTTCTCCGGTTTCATTCGCCATGTATGCCGGTACTGTTCGTCCTTTTACCCTAATTTTTAAGGTTTTTTCGCTACGACTTACCACTTCATACGGACCCTCGTATGGCTGCTTTAATAGACGTATAGCATTGGTACGTAGGAATATGTGTGAACTACTTTTTAAGTCATTATGCACAAACGGTTTCTCCGCAATATGACGTGAGGTTTGTAACGGTTTCAGTTCCCTCATCGTTGCTTTTATTACCTTTACAAACTCCGTTTGCGGCTCTTGTTTGTCTTTACCATTGAACATTTCTCCCAGCATGCGTATGTTTGCGCCATAAACCAGCTCTGATGATGTCGCTTGTAAGTCTTCTTTATATGCTGACCTTAGCCCCATAATTATTAACTGTAAAGGCCTCGTCCATTCCATTTCAGACATCCACTTTAGTGCCATTTTTAAGGTACGGTGAAAACGTTCCACTAGCCCATTTGCTTGAGGATGGTAAGCGGTAGTTCGGTGCCTTTCGCACCCCAACAATTTTGCTAGCTCCTCGAATAGCTTGGACTCGAACTGTCGTCCTTGGTCTGTCGTAATTCTTATTGACACGCCATAATATGTTATCCAATCTTTTATTAACGCTTCAGCAACATTTTCTGCTGTTATTTCAGCCAACGGTACTGCCACCTTGTGAATCTGTCGATGCACGTTAGACAATACCGCATACTATTGCAGAGAGGTAATGGTCCCACGATATCAATGTTTACGTGCTCAAAGCGTTGATTTGGTGCTTCAAACTCCTACAGCACAATCCTATTGTGCCGCTAGATTTTCGACTTTTGGCTGCAACACACCTTTTTACCATTTCGCTTATTTCCGCCTTCATTTTAGGCCAACAAAAACCATCACTGACTAGTCTTACTGTTGCTTTTTTGACAAGCAATGCAGGATTTGCTGAACTTTGACGTGCAGGCTGGCCGCATGCCTCGTTGGTGGCCGCGCCGTGTCAAAGTGGCTGCGAGTGAAGAGCGCTGGAGATATTTGAGAAAGTCGTCGGCTTGAGAGAGTAACTTTGACGTGCAGGCTGGCCGTTTGCCTCGTTGGCGGTCGCGCCGTTTCAAAGTGGTTGAGAGTGGAGAGCGTTGAAGAGATTTGATGAAGTCGTTGGTTTGAGAAAGTATCCTTGAACAGTAGGCTGGCCTCATGCCTCGTTGGTGGCTGCGCCGTATCAAAGTGGGTGTAAGTTATGTTGCTTAAATCATATAAAAACTTGTTGTAATGACCTGGGTCCAGATTCGTCATCGTAATGTGTTACCGGCATGTTCGTCTGCTGCGTGTTAAAATACGTCGGCATCACCAATGTTGTAATTGAGGTAAACAACGAATTAACTTCTTGTGATTTAGAAGATTTCGAAGTAGCAGTCTTGGTCCAGTTTACATTTGTTTTTTAATATAAAATAAATTTAATAAGATCTTTACTCGAGTAGTTTAATTATTTTTAATTAATTTTTTTTATGTTTTATATTATATAGTAATGTAATTTATAATTATCATTTTTGGAAAATATGAAAATAAATTCAATGCATTTGTTTTATAAATTTATGTAACACATCCGTTAAATTTGTAATTCAAAACTCTAATATTGAACTCATATATTAAAATTTTTAATATACGAAAATGCAACGTTGAAATTTGTAAGACAGGTATTAATAATAAAAAATATTTTTTTAAATTTCACTAATAAATTTGAAATCGATTATCGATTATAAAATATAAATATAGTTATCATTCTAACAACTTTCATCCTTAATATTATGCATGCTTTTTATATATAGACATTTTAAAATAAAACTCCAAAAATAATAATTAAATTTACTTTATATTATATTCCTCAAAAATAATTTTTTATGTGCCTTTTGTTTTTTCACGCAGAAATAACTCTTTTTAAAATATAAAATGCATTTTTCATGCAAGGTAGTTGTTTTTGTAATTCCATACAAAATGTATTTAAGGGTGGATGCACATAGTTACTTTCGGTTTTTGTTTTGTTTTGTGTACAAAAACGAAAAACTAAACTAAATCTTCACCGGCACCACCTCTTTAATACATTTTGTATGATATTACAAAAACAACTACCTTATATTTTGAGGTATATAATATAAATATATATATATATATATATATATATAATATAAAGCAAATTTAATTATTATTTTTGAGTTTTATTTTAAAATGCAAATGATAATAGTTATAAAGTGATTTTTATTTTTTTTTATTTTTTTTATTTTTTTTATTTATTTTATTTTTTTATTTTTTTATGATAACTGTTACAACTGATAACTGTTATATATATTTTTAGTTTTAATATTCGATAAAAAGTATTAACTAAATACTAATGTACATATAGCGATTATAAGTCTTACCGTCTTGATTAAAAACTTCAATTTGACCTTCATCTAATGGATTATTTACTGATGGCATAGAAATGCAATATTGTTGATCTAAGTATATTAAGCGCCTAGATTGTTCTCTTCTTTGCCCGGTAGAACCCATTAAGTTCGGATTGTTTTGAGTTAGTTGCACTGAAGAAGCTACTGTATTATCATGAAGACGAACGTTATTTGATATATCTATTGAATTCGCTTCATTAATTTCTTCATCGGTATTATCTCTATAATTAGCATATATTTCGCTATCGATATGAGTTAATCTTGGAGAAACTAAAACAGACGCCGGCACTGTACGACCGGAATTTAATTGAAAGTTGATACTATTATTATGAATTATAGATCGTGTTAAAACACTATCATTAGATAAAAGTGAAGTAGGAGCTTGAATAGTTTCGTCAATTGCAGACGCATTATTTTGCCCTTCTGTTCTTATTAACAATTGATTATTATCAGTAGTCCCCAATCTGGTATTTCTAACTGTTAACATATTATGATCTATGATATTGCTTCTAGTAATAATTTCCGAAGCTTCATCATCAGCATCTATATCCGCATCATTAGATGTTGCTTCTGAAGATTCTGGTTCATATATATGATCAAACACTTCGATAAATTGACGTGTGTCATCATCGGCATCTGCATCATTTGGATCTTCTACACCATCAATATTTGCTTCTAAAATATGCAATTTATTAATAAAAAAATACAAACGAAAACGTATTGCTGGTACCATCTTCATTATCATCTTCGTCATCATCTTCATCATTTTGGTCATCATTTTCGGATGATATGTTTGAATCGGTATCTGATTCGCTAGTACTTACTTCAGCAAGCGATGTTGCATTATCAGCCACTACAGCAACTGTTTCAGAAGAAGATGATGCCCCATCACTTCCTCCATTTCGCCTGTTTTCATTATTACTGGGTTCACTATTAGCGTTGTGAAAACGACTGTTAATAGAAGCGGTATTGTTACCTGCTGACGTTATATTTAAATTTGAGTTTTGATTTAATAATCTAAGATTTTCATTTTGCAATAAATCATCCCACAATCGATCAAAAGTAACCTAGCAATTGAAAATATATTATATACATATTTTTTTACTTATTTACTTTTTTAGAATGTATTAAAAATAAAACAGCTACAAAAAAATTTAATAATAAATATATAATCTTCAAGCTCAGCGAACCAGACCTCAAAGCAATAAACTCATAACTTTATGTAAAGTGTAAAAATCTACTTGTAGTTCATTTCCTCGAATGGCTTATTAATTAGGAAGAACTTATACTTTAAAAGCACATAGTGGTGATACAACATAGATCCATCCACTTTTACTACATTCACTGAAACAACAAGCAATAGTACATTTGCATTACAGATACTTTGTGGGTTAATGAGTGAGTAAATCGTTTTAAAAAATAATAAACTACTGTAATGCATACAATTTACGTTAAAGATAGACACAATGTGTGATCTGCACTCAAAACTGTTTGTCTAAATTAAAAACTTTAATTTACATTAGATTTTGTTATAAAATCCGTGTGCTGCACTATACAGAATATGTTCTTTACATTTCGAAATTTAATAAAAAATATTTTACCAGTATTGCTACATAATCGGTATTAAAAAAATATATTAAATAATATAAATGAAGAAATAAAATAAACGGATATAACGATAACTGGTTGTTAAAACCAATTTGAGGAGGCCAAAATTAATTAATTTTTTAATGACAGTTCTACTATACAAGAACTCAAAGTGGTTACTTAAAAACTGTCAAGATATGTTAAATTTAACAACAAACTAAAAAAAATGTAAAACTCTTTGCACTCGGAAGATCAATGAATTTGAGTATAAAGTATTAGCCTAAATATATTTATTAATACTTTTAATAATTTATAAACTATTAAAATAAAAACATTCACCTTAAATTAAAATAAATAACTTAATTTAAATAATTATAACACTTATGTAATTAAATTTAGTTAAAAATTCTATTGTAATTTAAATATAATTAAATAATAAAAAAAACTTGCATATGTACACAAATATGTTTATTAAAATATGAAGCACAAATAATTATTGAACATAGTGTTTTTAATATAATTTAGGGATTCATTGCAACTATAAAGTACAATAATATCTTTACCATCGAGCATATTAAATAGCATTTGTACTAACAACCCAAATACATTTAGTAAGTGTTCAATAACGAAGAAAAGTAAAATAAGTATTGCCATTTGTTCCGTCCATTAAGTATCACAAAATCCTACTTTGTTTTATACTACTTCATACGCATGCACTATAAATTTTGTATATGTTGACGTATATTGTATATAATAATTTTAATTAGGATTTTTTGGTATATGGCTTTGTCAAAGCAAAATATGTTGTTTTCACTATTGGCTCCCACTTACAAAATATTAGTGATCATGTGTGAAATTCGACTGTTCGACTATATATATTTGAGCTTCAATGTTTCTGCTGTCCTTATACTTTTAACAAAGGCAAAATACGAGTTTTACTATTTTTATGCTTTAGATTGAATAAATAATTTTCGGTGTATACGGTTTTGACAACAGTAAAAGAAATTGCTCTAATTTAAAAGCAGCCTAGGTGTGTGAAATGTGCAGGTAAGCATGAAACTATAAATTGTGAAAAACCCGATGATAGTCACCCAAAATGTTGCAACTGTGAGGAGCAACACCCAGCGTCATATCGCGGTTGTGTAGTCGCAAAGGAGCTTCAAAAATTAAGAGACCAAAAAACAAAAAAAGTTCCTGTCTCAGTTCAAACAGATAATATCGAAAGACCAATAGTATACACAAGTCGAAGAATCGCTAAAGTATCATATGCAGACGCTATTAAGCCAACAACCTCCGTAGCCCAAAAAATAAATATTTCTGATGAATCACAAAATGTCCTCTCTGTTATTCTTGAAAAACTAATGGCAATAGAAAATCGTCTAGACAACTTAGAACAAAAACATAACTGTACATCTGTATGATTGCTCTTAAAATTATGGAATGGAACGCAAATGGTTTGCTTCAACACAAAAACGAATTAGAATTACTTCTGCAAACAGAAAATATAGACATATGCCTAATAAGCGAAACTCATTTTACAAAAGAATCGTATATCAATTTTAAAAACTATAATATTTATCATACTATTCATCCAAGCAATAATGCTAGAGACGGAAGCGCCGTTATAATTAAATCCAACATTAAGCATTATCAAGATAATAAACTCTCTAATGAAGAGTTCCAGGCAACAACCGTTGCAGTTGAAGAGAGTGGTTCTAAAATACAAATAACGTCCATCTATAGTCCACCAAGACAAAACGTAAAATATGAACAATACATAGATCTATTAAAATTACACAAACATAAAGCAATAATTGGTGGTGATTTTAACGCAAAAAATGTTCAATGGGGGTCAAGACTAAATACCACAAAGGGTAAGGAATTACTTAAAGCATGTCGGGCCACAGGTTTTGAAGTTCTCTCCACTGGCTCTCCAACATACTGGCCAACTGATAGAAATAAATTACCAGATGTCATTGATTTCTTTATTGTAAATAAAATTCAAAAAAGAGACATTGAAGTTAAAGCAGGACTTGATTTAAATTCTGACCATTCTCCAATATTGCTTACTTATGGATGTAATATTCTATCTACGCTACCTAAACCGACACTAACAAACCGTTTAACAGACTGGAATTATTTTAAGGCCCAGATAAATGAAAATATTGACCTATCCTGCAAAATACGAAGTATAAATGACCTAGAGAGTGAAACGCATTGCTTTACAAGCTTGATTCAAAAATCGGCATGGCGCAGTTCTCCACTGCAGAATAGTAAGCAATTTGATAAAAACTATCCGGTCGAAATTTTAAATCTAGTCTATAATAAAAGAAAACTACGTAAAAAATGGCAACAATCACGATTAATGCAAGATAAAAGAAACCTTAATAATGCCACTCAAAAATTAAGAAGAGAAATCAGTAATTTTAAAAATGAAAATGTTAAGAAATATCTTACAAACTTGACATATGATAGCAAAACTAACTATTCTCTCTGGAAAGCTATGAAAAAATATAAAAGACCGATCACTCATAGTCCTCCATTAAAAAAAGATAATAATGAATGGGCGAAAAGCAACATTGAAAAGGCACACGTTTTGGCTGAATATTTAAGTAATACCTTCAATCAAGAAGAAACCCATCATATAGAGCCAAATAACAACATAGATGATGAAGCTATTTTGCGGATAAAAAATAAAGAAGTAACTGAGGAAATCAAAAAATTGATATTAAAGAAATCACCAGGATATGACCTCATAACTAGTGAAGTGTTGAAAAAGCTACCTCCAAAAGGAGTAGCCAAACTTGCACAGATATTTAATGCGAGTATAAAATTAAATCATGTCCCTAGCTATTGGAAAGTTGCTGAAGTTGTGATGGTTCTAAAACCAGATAAGGACCAACATTCTCCAACTTCATATAGACCAATCTCTCTCCTGCCAACCATAGGAAAACTGTTCGAAAAGCTTATCTGTAAAAGACTTGAAAAAGTAGTTTGTCAAAGAAATCTTATCCCAAATCATCAGTTTGGATTTCGGAAAAAACACTCAACAATCGAACAAGTACACAGAGTTACGCACGAAATAGAAAAGGCTTTAGAAAACAAAGAAACTTGTTCAGCTGTGTTTCTGGATATATCAAAGGCTTTTGACGGGGTTTGGCACTCTGGCCTGATATATAAGTTAAACACTATCCTGCCACAGCATTATTGTAAACTACTGGAATCGTATATTGGCGAAAGGTACTATCGAGTTAAACTACTTGACGCGTATTCGAAATTATATCCTATAAATCGCGGGGTCCCTCAGATGAGTATACTAGGCCCATTACTGTACCTACTGTACACATATGATTTGCCAGTGAACCCAAGATGTATTGTTGGAACTTTTGCAGATGACACGGTATTAATGGCTACAGGTCCAAACAACAAGGTGTCTACCATTAAGCTTCAAATCGCTCTTCAAGAAATTGAACAATGGACAAATAAATGGAAGCTGATAGTAAACAGTTCAAAATCTAATCATGTAGACTTTACTAACAAAAGAGAAAATCAAATTTCATTATTTCTAAATAGCGTAAAAATTCCAGTTGCAAATTCTGCGAAATATCTGGGTATGAGTCTAGATGCCAAACTGAGATGGAAGGTACACGTCAAGAAAAAATTAAATGAGCTAAAAATAAGATACAAAAAGTTAACTTGGCTTATTGAAAGGAGATCTAAATTATCTCAGCAAAACAAGCTTATGATCTATAAACAAGTCTTCAAGCCGGTCTGGCTCTATGGTGTCCAAATTTGGGGTTGTGCGAAAAAACATATAATAGATATGATGCAAAGATTTCAAAACAAAGCAATCAGGGATGCAGTTAACGCTCCGTGGTACGTGCGAAATTCTGATCTACATCGTGACCTTAAAATACCTACTGTCAAGCAAGAAATTTAGAAGGCTGCTAAAAAAACACTATGACAGGCTGAGACAACACATAAACAGCACCATTCCAGCGCTACTTTGTGATGTCACTCACAGACTCTTATGCCGCTTCAAACCTAATGACCTTTTGTTTCAACCAGCAAGGAGATGACTACTTCGTATTAAAGTGCTGCATCAAAACATTCGTTTTTGCGGTCATTCGTTTTATTTTCAAATGTGTACCATATTTACAAATTATTTCTAAAGCGAATACGAATGAATAACAGAAACGGTCCGATAGAATAGAAATTGTGCCGCATTCGTTTCAATGGAATGGGGGTTGATTTGTTCTCTATAATCGTTTGTTTTGAATTTTAAAATCAAATAAACAAATATTTTAGAGTATCTCAATCACTTTTAGAGTATTTCAAATAATTCTATTTTTGCAAAGAAATATTTTATATATTTGGTGTGCGTTTGGTTGCCTGCGCAAAAGTAAAGAAAGTTGGATGTGCGTAGAGATTTGCAATAATTGCAACAACAAAGTACGTAAATTAAGTTTAATTTTCTATTATTTTCAATGCGAAAGTTGTTTAAACAGGTAGATCTAATGCAAAAGGTTAACTTAAAAAAACAGAATTTCCTTCTTTGTCGATAGTTTTTTATGATGTAACAAAATAAATTGCTTCACATATTTACCTTTTCCTGGAAAATAATTTTATGCATGATATGGTAAAAATATCTATTTATGACAAGAGAGATTTTTAGGAATTTCTTAAGAATTCCCTCAGAATTCCTACTTTACAAAGTTTCTTGTAAATTATTTGCAACACCAGCAAGTAGTGCATCTTCGGAAAGGGTTTTTTCAGTTGTTCGGAACTTAATATCAGAAAAAAAGAACATTGATTTCATCTAATCAAAGATCTATCAATCAAATCATGTTTTACACAACAATCTTGAAAAAGAGGAATTAAGTCAGACGATGTTCAACATTTAATTTGCATATTAAATTAAATTTGTGAACTGTAAAAACTGTAAAAAAACTTATTATAATTTTTTTAAATAAATATTTGTTCAAAATTTTTTTTATATTTAATTAATATATTAAATCATATTATATATGTAATCAACAAATTACTATTATCAACATTTTAAATAATATTTAATTAATAAAAAAAACTTAAATAAATAAATTTGTGTCTTACTATTTAAAAACACATAGTTTTTGTATGAACTGAAAATCAAATGCTTAGAGTACTCCCAACTACTTCAACTACTTTTAGAATGTTTAGAGTTAGAGTACTCTAAACAAACGAAACTAATATTTATTCTATTCCATTTTGTTTTTATGCCTATACATTCGTATTTGTTCGTTGAGAGTGAGAGTATGCTACCATTCTAAACACAATAGAATGCTTTGAAACTGAAATCAAATGCGCGCGTGCAGTACTCTAGTTCGTATCTATATGCTCACCCTAGATAGACTTAGATAAACTTACTTGTAATAAAAAAAAACCTCTTGTTAGTCAATATGACTAGTTGTTGTAAATTTAAACTCTTCATTTTGTTTAAATATAAAAAAAAAAAAAAAAAAATTTTAATAGAACACTCTTACCTGAGGACGGTGATTAGTAGTTGCAGAACTATGCATATTTTCGTTGTTCACTGGACCACCAGTACTTCTTAACGTCGAGATATCTTCGGCCTGTGGATTAATTAATAAATCATCTGCATTAAATATGAAATCAAATCCATGACGTCTATCTGATAAAACATTTCTTATAATATCTCTTAAAACGTTTTCTCCTCCAATGGAACCTGAATTAGATGACAAACGTGTCGTCAATCTGGGAAAAACACGACGGTTTGTGACCGGATTTTCACTTGTACCTATTAGTATCCTCTTAGATGATAAGGATCCAGGTGCAACTGTTAGTCGCAGCAACATCTCCATTGGTTTAAGGATTGAATACATTGTTAATAATATATTTGAATTAGACAAGTCTTTATATTGTATAAGTTTTGATAATATTGTCATAATCCCTTTACGCAATAAAATTCTATTCATATTATTTCGCTGAGTGTGTATTTTATTTGCTTGCATTGGATTTTCAATCATCATAGGAAACAAACTAACAAGAATCTGTACTCGTCTATTTTTAATGTAAGGATCTTTTATTGATAATGTACGTATGATAGCGTCTTGAATTTCTTCGACAACTTTCGTTTGAATATATGGTTGTCCGCAGCAATCTGAGAGTGATAATATTAATACTCTAGACATCACACAAACTTCAGAATCTTGCCCTCTATTAACTATGGGTAAGTAATTATCCAAAATAAAAGATAGAAATGATTGTTCCTTTTTAATTAAAATGCTATCAGTTGGATAACATCTGTGGTCTATTATAATCCGCGGTACAGTGGACTGGTAAGAACGAATAGTATCTGCTAAAGCTTTCATAAGTGTAGCTCTTGGCAACAATGGTTTTAAATGTGTATGCCCGCTAGAGGGAGTATGCCAGCTGCAGCAACACCATTCAATTTTTTTAGTATTTTTTTTTGTTATATCTATAGAACATTCCTAAAAAGATTTTAAGTATTAAATAGGAAATGAGTAAAGCAAAGATACATACCCCTGTGGGTGAAAGTAAAACTTCCGTTACTTGCGAATGAAATAAACTGGATTTGTTTTTATATGAAGACTTTGTATAATGAATACAGGGTTGAATAAGCGAATTTAAAATATCTTTTATAACATTAGTTGAAATTTGTGAATATAGTCCGTCTTCAACTTTATCAGTCGATAAATTACATTTTCGTGGAATAGATTGTGATTTGACTAAAAATCTAGAATCATCAAGTGAAGATATTGGATTATTTATATAATCAGCTTGCAAAATTTGCTTAGCGGCTGCTAGAAATATCGATGGGTGACGACCTACTGCTGATGATATTTGCGTCAAAACAAACGTAAGATCACGATGACCAACTGGTACCGACTGAAATGTCCTTGATGCTATAATACGTTCCATGGACTCTTGCAATACTGCAGGCGCTTCTACCATATGGCGAATAATTACAATAGCATACGTTGGGTACCCCATTACATTACACGGCTGATGCATATTAAGCAAAATGTTTAATCCACCATTTCTATAAAATAATTTTGCATTCTCGAATTCGCGAGTTAAACGCGCACATAACTTCAATATTGATTGCTTCACTTCATAATTTAAAAGCAATAAGGGATTCAATAAGCGTACACAACATTTAATAATTTCAGTTGAATCGTATTTTGCTAACCCAATATTTTCTTCGTTTAGAACAATTTTTTGAACTCGTTTGAATGAACACGAGAAGGTTTTTTTTTCATTTCGCTCTTTATATTTGTTCATGTTTGCAACGTCTAAAATTTAAAGTCATAATTATATTTTACTTTACTATACTTAATTTAGTACTTACTATTACTAATAAACACATGATTATTGAAATCTTCAGGAAAAACAGAAGAAGATTGTGAGGTTTCAATTTTCATATTCTTATCGTTTTCAGCGTCGAGAGTTTTATCTTTACTGTTTTCATCTGAGTCAAAGTTAATAAGCGAATTTAAGTATATTTCTTCATCCTGGTGAAATGTGCTTCTTCCATCAGTTTTAGAACGTATAATTCTAGTTAATACACTTTCTATCTTATTACTTATGTTACTAACACAAAATGTATTCAAAGCTTGAGTTATTTTAAGAACAGGTAAAACGGGACGATGACTACCAGAAGCTTCACTTACTTGCGTCATACAGTTAAAATTAATTGTGTATCGCTGTCGTCCTATATTTATAGAAACGGAACGCTCTCCTGTATTAAACGCATTTTTGATTAAAGTGTTATTCGGTTCCGAATATGAATTCCATTTCCCTGTAGATGCATCATACCATTTCCATGTGTCCGTTGAAACTGCGCGCATATTAGATTTTCTTTGTAAAATCAAACTTACACTGTCAATTATATCAATTAATTCAAATAAATATTGAAGCCAACGTGGAGGTGTTGGTTTTACACCTAATGCTAATTGCTTTTGTAGAAGTGCCTCAGTTTTTGTTAGTAATAAAAGTAAAGAATTTAAGGTATGCTCTTTTAGCATTGCTGCACATATATCTTTTCGAATATCTGCATAAATTTCATCCAAAAGCAAAATCGTTACTTTTAATCGAATAAAAAGTGTATTAGTAATGGAATCAGATAGATATTCTTCAAACTTATCAATATTTATGTCACAGCCCGTTTTTACACTTCGCACAAAAGTATCTACACATTCGTTTAATTGTTTAACTATATTCAAAACAAATGTTTGTTTATCTTCATGATTAAAGTGTCGAAATATAATTGCAATTAACTCAGATCCAATTGGTATAGTTTCCGGCAATTGTTCCATGAAAGAAAATGATCTTTCAATAGCTTCTTCACAAAATTGTTTAATAGTGTCATGACTTATCAAATTCACATTAAAAAAATAGCTTTTGGCTATATTAGAAGAACTGCATGGCAAATCAGCACATTCAGATATATCTATATCCATTATGTCGCGAGTAACATTCGAGTTACGCCTGTCATCATCCAAACGTTCAGTTTCTCTCGTTAATGGAATTAAAATTTCATGTTCTGAATGATTCAATAAATACTCAGTGGCTTGCTCTAATGAACGGGTATTTCGCAAAGCTTTTATTACATGGTCTCGACTAAATCCCATATCAATTAAAGTTTTTAAGTAATCTCCGTTGATAGTTGCTTAAATACATAAAATTAAACAATTAATTACATTATTTTATATATATATATATATATATATATATATATATATATTACAACACCAAATACATATTTTAAAGAAATTAAGATATATAAAAATAATTATATATATATAAATAAACTCATAGAAATAGAAATGGGTAAATTGAAAAAATATAATTTATATTTAATTGAAATGCGTAAATGGAAAAAAATATAACATTATATTTAATTATTTGACTCACCACACAGCTTTTTAAAATATATACTATGAAATACTCAATATTAATATCTGTGAACATTTTGGTTGGTTTTATTAGTCTCTACATTTTTCAGACTTTGAGTTCCAGACTTATGGTCAAGCTTGCAAATTTAAAGTAAAGACTATGCGTATTAATCGCGAGAGTCAGAACTAGTCCAAGTCAGTCCAAGTTATGTCAATTTTGGTTTTTTTCAAACAACAATTATTTGTTGTGCAGTAATTAAGTACAAAAATACAATTAACTGTTACAAATATTATATATACTTCAATCCTATTTTTCGTAAAACATTATATGTATATGTTTAAAAAATTTAACAAAAAATATGATTTGAGTTTACAATTTGCTTAAAATAATCGTAAATTAAATATAGCGCATAAAATATTACATGTAATATTATATATTACAATTGTGACATTTACCGCACTCTGATTATGAACAAGCACAAAAAGAGACTGATGTATGTTGCATACACCTTAAGAATCAGTTTCGGATTAGAGTTTCAAATGCGCGTAAGTTACGTCACAGACGAAACCTGACACCCATTTTCCGCTAAAACCATTTTTTGATTACAGCGCCTAAAATAACTAAAACTGAAATTGCATTGGCCTAACCAAACAACGAAGCGTCTTATCAGGATTCAATAATTCGAATCCTCCCTATATATAAAGGGAAAAATATTAGAGATAGTTTAGTCTTAAGATTCACATTTAATAAAAAAGTCGCAAAAACTAAAGGATTGTGTCTTAATTAATATAATTCGTACTTGAGTTTATACGTATGGATTCAAGACAAAATTTCTATAAATCATAAATCAGAATTTATAGATATAATCAAAATCATTTCATCATTGTATTTGTTTGTATTTGAGGTTTGAGGATATTCATTTACAATTCTATTAGGATGTTTGGGAAGTAGTTTTTACTATTACATTTCTTTTCGTTGTTTCAAAAATTGAATAGTTGTTTTGTGTTTCTACCGGATAACAAAGTGATTAATTCTGAAGTGTATTAGCTACTGCTGGATAAATTAAATAATTTATTTATACAGAACAGTTCAAAAATTTATCAACAGAAAAGGTGTAGTGTCCTACAAAGGTAATGTGAAAAGTTTAGTAACTCCCAAAAAACTTTTACGTCAGGGATAAAATACTGTGACACCAACCTTACTCTCCAAATCCGTCACTTTCTGATTATTTGAACTGAATTGAACACACTCAATTATAATTAGTAATAAAATTCGACGAAGTATAGTGTCTATCGTATATTGGGGGTTTTGGTAATTATAATCAAAAAAAAAGAAATGTTTTCAACTGATACAGGTTTTGGTAAATATTTAATCAAAGAAAATGAACTGATAAATTGGTATGTATAACATTAACTAGACAATACAAACTACCGTACGTAATTGTGAACCAACAACAATGGAAAACGTGTGCAATTGTAAATTAGCAACTGCGCAAACTTTTGATGAAATTCGTTGAATGAAACTTTTTTTCAAAAATGTTTGCTGTGTTGACTTTTTATCAATACTAACCCGGAATGAATATTAATGTATATCTAACCATCTACACGCAATGTGCTTCTACCCAACTGGCAATGGACAAAACAGGGCTGATTTAGAAGAGCAAACTCTGATATCGTTTACCGATCTTATGAAACAGTCGTAAATTTAATGCGATTTTGTAGTTTGTGTTCGCGAACACAAAATCTAAAATTTTAGAGTTTGTGCTTCTATTTGTGTTCAAATTTTTAATGTTCGCGTTGTGTTTTTTCCCCAAAATAGTGAACTTTTTAACGATCTTTTCACAATGGTTGTGTTTTTTTAGCTAACGTTTCCCGAAAATAGTGTATTTTTAGTGTTTTTAATGCCCGTTAAACAAAACGATTTGGAAACTTTTTTAATATGAATAGTTGTTGCTTCTTTTACACAAGAAGAAGAAAAAATTTTGTTTGCATTCGTATTGCATGTATTTTGTTTGTGTTTTTTTGTGTTTTTTGTGTATGCATTTATTGATGCATATTTAATACTACGGGATAAATTACACAGTTATAATATTTTATTCTGAATGGGTAATTTATATCTTATTTATAATGCCAATAAAAGTATATTGTATGCATTTCGTGTTTTGTGAAGTAAAATCTAGGAAAAAAACTCGACAGTAAATGTGGAAGTATTTAAAAATTGAATAAAAATAAATGTAAGATTATAACTAGTCAATATTATAACTAGAACTCACCGGAAGCGACTAATGTGTCGCGTACGCGGGGTTATTTATTAACTAAATTTTCATAATATTCCGAGCGGAAAGAATTTAAAAAACATAAAAAAGTGTTCGTCTGATACTTATTTGTTTGGTGTTTTATTACACATATACAATCAGCTGATATAGACAGCATAGTGTTGCAAAAATACTAAACTGTTGCACAATTGACTTTACATTATGTGAAAATAATATTGATATAAAATTGAATATAATTCAATGTGTGAGCTTTTGTATGCAACATTAATAGCACGGTTGTAGGTTGTTTTAAAATATCAGTTAAACAGGTAATTATTTATTATCACTGAGCGTACCACAGGTGTGTTCAGAGTCGTCGACTATCAGTTCATCGTGTGTGCCTGGGCAGTGATTTGGCTATAAAGTTGAAAGAATTTATTTCAAATTAAACAATACATTTTCTAAACTGCACTGTATTTTCGACTTTAAGTTTGGCCTAAAAGTAAATTACAATTATGGTACCTTCACCCGTAAAAGCTAATAAAACAAAGTTTCAGCTAAGGAATCTAAAATAAAGAAAATAAAAATACCAGCCAAGCATAAGTTGAGGTCGAATTCAGCTTGCGAAAGCTTCTAACTTGACTCTACACCAACCTTTAATAAGATAAACGAGCCAAAAACAATGTAAGAAAATAAATATCTTAAAGCGGAAAATGATAATTTAAAGATAGTGAAAGATTCAAATTCATAACCAACTAGTTGTTTGATTGAGAAACCACAAGAATGCGAGGACTGCTATATATATTTTTGGACTAGGCAGAAGAAATAGAAATACTACTCAACATGGAAAAAATCAATATTTGCCTTGTGTTCGAAACACATGTGTATTAAAAATCCTTTTATAGCCTTCAAGAATTATTTCATATATCACACTATACATCCAGATAACTGTGCGAAAGGAGGAAGTGTTGTAATTATTCGGAAAAGCATAGATCATTATATTTACAGCCTCCCAAAACACACCATTACAGTAGAGAAATATAAACATCTAATAAGAAGACACAAATTAAAGGTTATTTTATGTAGAGATTTTAATGCGAAACACCCTCATCCGAGTTTACACATCACAACAACAAAGGGAAAAAAACTGTATATAGCTGCAATAGCAATGGGATGCGAACACCAACCTACTGGCTGAACGATCCAAATAAATTTCCTGACCTTACATATATCTTTCTCACTAAAAAATATCATCAAACTACATGCAAATCAAACAAGGCTTAGATCTGCACTCCAACCATTCGCCAATATGCAACTTTAAGTGACACGATCATAACAATTATGTGTGACATAAAATCATCCCAGATCATACCTGACTAATAAATCTACAGATTGGAGTTATTTTAAAGCATTGCTTGAAGAAAGTGTAAACCTTTTAACTCCACTGAGCACTTCTGCGAACTTGAAAGAGAAAATGATCAGTTCATTAAACAAATTCAAAGAACAATTTGGAGCAGTACCCCTGAATATAAAAGAAAAACTGTAGGAGAGAACTATCCAAGAGAAATTATGAGTCTAATAAAAGAAAAGAAGAAACTAAAAAAAGATGGCACCGAACTCGATCTCCGCTAGATAAAAGCAGACTTATGAAGCTACTAAACGCTTAAAAAAGGGGTTTGTCTTATCAAAACTGTGTTAGTAAAAAATTATATTTTATTACTTAGTGTTGACAAAGACAAACTACTAATTGTGGAAATCAACGAAATACTTAAAAAACTCATTACCTACAAACAAACGTTCAAAGACAGCAATGGCAAATGGGCTAGAAGCAAGCAATGAGGAGCAAACCGAAACTTCCGCAAATAATCTAACAAAAATATTTTCGCTATATTATGTGATGAATTACTGATAGTCACAGAGAGTAGAAACCAGCAAATCGATCGATTAACAAAACGCGAACTAAAATCAGCAGTAAAAGATTTAAAAAATAAGAAAAAAGCCTTATAACATCCAAAGTTTTAAAGCAATTACTAGATAAACCTGTTCACAAATTGTTAATGCAATTCAATGCACCAATAAATCTAAAATATTTTTCCAAAACCAGGCAAGCCGCTAGAATGCAAGTAACATAATCGTATTAATCCGCCCCTGCCTTTCTTTAGTAATTGTAAACTGTTTCTATAAATTTGGAGAAACGGTTTAATGGCATGATCAACTCATCGCCTTTAAATTGTTGCTACTTGTTTACTCCAAATTTATAGAAACGGTAAAGTAGCATGTTTTTAAAACTAAGTTATTACTTTTGTACCATGAAATAGAACTTTAATTTCAACCATCGAATATTAAAGACGTATTTACCATAATTTAAAATACATTACTTGCATATCGTCATATAGACCTATTTCAATTTTATCAGTCATTTCGAAGCTCTTCGAAAACCTTTTCTACAAGAAACTAATGCATTTGGCAAGCATTTGACTACAGATTAAGTACATAGTATATAGTAAATACATTGCATA